CACTTCCCCCACCTGCTACCGCAACGAACGGGTAGTTTTTTTTTTTCTTTTTTTTTTCTCTTGAAGATGCATCTCGTCTCTTTTTCTGTATTTTTCTCTTTTTTTTTACCACTATCGGTAGCCGCAGCTTCGGCGAGGTTCGGCATACCGGTAGCCAGAGGGTAGGACAAAAAGTAGCTCTAGGTGCTGGTGGTTTAATAGCAGCAAACCTGTTGGAGCCTGAGGAAGGCTTCCATCCCACACAATGATTGGGACTTTTACTCAGTGTTGGATGGGAAAGCACGTGAAATGGCAGGAGAACAAGGGTGGGATGGATGCACCTTGAAAACTGCAATTCTCACAATCAGACAACTTTACATGCAGATCTCGTTCAGTGACATCGACACCCACCCATCAATGAGAGTTCATTCCCGTTCAAAGCATGGCAGCCATTTTCACACTTTGTGAAGTTCAACCTCCATGACAACCCATTTGAATTTGGAAGACTCACATGTGAATTTCTGCAAAAGGCTAAGGAAGTGGAGCTGCCAGCCCCCCCACTCAGACTTCTATACAACTAGCAAAGTATCACACAAAATCCCCTAGGAAACCCTCAAATGTATGCATGAAAAGGAATATCTTGTGCCAAGAAGGAGATATGTATTGTAATTTTTGTGTCTCGTGTCAAATGTCCTAGCCAGGTAAGTACCTCGCCACTCCCCTCCTTCACCCCCTTCTTCCTCCTCCTCAGACTGGGCAGCTCGCCATAGCCAAGCTGAGCTCCTCCCAGCGGCGCTCTGAGAACCAGAGCCCGCTCAATCAGCATGACGCCAAAACATGCACACCGCAAATGAGGGAGAGCCCAGTGCTCTCCCCAAACATACAGTGAGGCAACTTGGGCCCTTGGGTGGTGATGTCCTGGCCGCTCGGCCTCCCAAGGAACCGGTTCCCTCCTCCTTTCCGAGGGAAACATCACTGCAGGTCTGATGTCATCCTTACAGGCCCTAGACTCAGGCTACTTGGACTGGTACCTGCCTACCTAGGCCTCTAAAAATTCTAACCTTTTTGTCTTCTTCTGCTAGGCCTACAGCAACTTATGTGCTACCGGCCTAGTCTACCCGCTGCTTGAGTGGCCCTAAGCTACCCCTCCGACCACTTGAGTGTTTCCCTGCTGTAACCCTCAAAGTCACGGCCACAGGTAAGTACCGGCCCCACAGGCCTCTCAAACACACAAGGCCTTGGCAGGCCTCACACACTAAGACAAGCATGCACTCAGAAGCCAGAAGCCAGCAAGCACGCACACACGCAGACTTAGAAACCCCAGCAAAAAGCGGGAATTCTCAGCAGACACATTCAAGCGGAAAAACTCGGAAGCCAGTCTGCGATTTTGCAGGTCGTTACATACCAAAAACGAAATGATATGTATGGCATGGCACTTCGCATGATCATCCAGTAAATCAATACCACACAGACAGACAGCCTCAATCAAAGGTTATTTCACCATGCATAATAGCGACCATCGCCGTGAATAAGATGTGGCCAGACAACATGAAACGACAAACACTGCACCCTTCCTGTCAAGGAACTGTCCGCAACCTTGATTCTGACAGATAAATCACATCTCAGGAAAATGCTTACCACAGTTTGCAAGATACGAACAGTGAATCAATGCTATCGTATGGATTTAAAGACTTACATGAGCATATCGGCAGCCGCTTTCAAGTGAAACTTTGACTTCTCAGTAGACACCTCTGATGCCTCAGATTCTCCAGAATTAAATTCAATATTGCCAAGGTGAAGAACAGCGGCGATTGTTCGAAAAATTGCTTCCTGTCATAGTGCAGAATAGGAATTTCGTTACTCCCCTAGAAAAACTAAGAGGAACCCCAGAACAGTCCCCCTAGAAGTTAAACAAAAACCATTTTTGCCTCACGAGGAGCCGACATAGCTCATGGCTGCTAATTGTGTCATTTTGAGAGAGAGTAGCATCTTTTGAGTCTACCTTTTCTCATAAGACAATATGCATATTTCCATAGCTGTATTGAATGTAGACGACCTGAAGGATACTGTAATGAACCCAACCTAAAGATCCATGCACGTGGTAACAGTCAAGTAGAGTTGTCTCAAATTGCAAGACAAGTGACCAGAAACTGGACAAAGGTGGGGAAGACGTGGAGAGGAGGAGGAAAGACTTAACGATAAACAACAAGTAAAGCCAGTGCGGCTATGCCTGCACACATGGAAAATATCAATGAGATATCTGTGGATGGATAATATCAATGAGATATGTGTGCGAGGATATGGGTCCTCGGCAGGCCTAAGGGCCCCCCTGCAGCATATGTGCCCGCCCTAAGTGAAGGCGGGCCTAACAACTCACGAGAGGCCCTTGGCTGTCAATTTCGCATTTGGGGTCCAGGAAGTTTCGTCACGACAGTTGGTTGAAGGGAAACACAGGCCGAGCAGCGTGGAAATTCCCAGGCCTTCTAGGCCTTTCCAAAAGCACAGGCCCTGCACGAGATTCGCAGCGTCATACACAGACAGTTGGGAGGCCCAACCGAATGAGGCCCAGTAGCTGCACTAGAGGCGCAGCATCCTGGGGCCTACCGGAAGCTTCTGGGCCCAGGCCAGGCCAGCCAGGCTGCCGAATGAGGCAGGCTCTTTCCATATAGGAAAAAGCTCGCTGCCTGGCCAGGCATTCGGGCACTCGCATGCCAACGGCAGCGCTGCTGGAGCTGAAGCTCGTGGGCTGCTGCTAGCGCTGAGTGGCGAGGTGCAGGCACGTGCGGTCGTGCAGGCGCTGCTGAGGGCAGCGCCATAGCCCAGCCTCCATAGCTGGCAGGGCTTGGATGTACAGTGAGGCGCAGGGGTGGTCTTTGGGTGTACAACAAAGGGAGACGTGGGAGAGAGTCAAGGGGGAGAGAGAAGGACGATGATGATGATGATGTGAGGACACATACCTGGTATTGGCGATGGTTCTGCATGGGCGACATCTTCAAGTACTTCGGGTGCTGCTGACGTCAACAGTTGCATTGTCAATTAGTAGGCTAGTAGTAGCTGTGTAGGGAGTAGGCTGGGCGCCGAGCGCCAAGTAGGGAGATAGAGACTGGATGCATATGTTGGTGGTGGCGAGAGCAAGCTCTCATTGACATTGACTTTCAGTGCTACAATTCTCCATTGGTGTTATGTTGGTGCAATGCTGCTTCCTGAACACTATGTTACGATTTGGTTTTCAATGTGATTGTGCAATCTGAATATTGTCATCTCGCTTCTGTTCATTTTCCTTGCAATTTGGTATCGGAGCTGGTTCGAACTGCGCTCATTGGTTCTTCGCAATAGCTGTTCGGTGCTTCGCATGAGGTGTGGGGCAGTGATAAAGCTTGGGCGTTGAACGTAAGGCGGCCCAGGGTCGTGTGGGCGCGCCAGGAAGCTATATGGTGACATTAGGGCTGTATGCTGGATGCTGAGAGGTCGCTGATGTGACATTTAAGTCGAGGTGGAACTGCATTCTGCTGTTGGTTGTGCCGAGGCAAAGACTGGTCATCATAAATGCACTACAGGTTGCCGAACTTGCCGGTGACAAATCTGTGGTTGGGGGCAGCATTATGAGGTATGTTGCTTCCTTCCTTATCTACCCTCTTCATTGCTTCTTACCGTGAGGCAGTGGGTCTTGTCTTGAGAGTCCTCCCAATGTGAGGTGTCGCGAGCGCTCAACCTTGAGAGTCGACATTCTTCCTGGGCAGCAAGCTGGTGGGAGACGGGCGATGCCTCTGAAGGGCCCTGGGCGAAGCACTCGGGTCACGGTCACCATGCCAACCCGCTAGGACTTGTACACGCATGCTTTGCCGCAAGTCCTTGGTTCTGCTGCTGTGCAATAGAGGTCATGCAGGGCATGCCAGCCCTTTGAACAGACACTTACCAGACCGTCTCTAAATATTTCTGGCGGGGCTGGGTGTTGATTCTGGCTGTGATCGTCGTCTTGTCTGCGACATTAAATAATTCCTGAGGAGTTACAGGGGATCTCCTTAAATGCCTCCTGATCAGCCAAATCAAACCGGGTGTAAGGCTCGTTGCATGCGAGGATAAATAATGTGCAGGAGCTGGCAAATTCGGCGTTGACTTGGGGCACAGTGGTGGGCCGGATTGCTCACCTTTAGACACGCTGCTCAACCAGATGCCTAGGAACGTCGACACAAAGTGACTACTCAAGAGAGATACAGGGAAAAGGTTAGATTCCGGCAACTGTTCGCCGTGGGATTAATTAGATAAACAACCATTCAGCATACATCTCTGGAGGGAGCATTATTTTTATTTTTGATAACTTAGTTGTTACAGACTTGATTGACAACTGACAGACAACTGCAGATAAAGTACAATATTCTTTGCTGCATTGCAATCTGTATTAGAGTAATCTACAAATAGACTTAATATTTTCTGTAGGATTTGACACTGGGTGACACCTAACCACCTAACTGTTTCTGTTCCGGCCAACCGAAGTTAATTGTGTACCATAACCGGTTGTGTGTCATGCTGAGGTAGGATTCAGTGTGTTAGATCACACACACTGTAGCTCATGAGTGATGCAAGCACTAGTGAGGAGGAGTTGTTAGTGGATGACCGTAGGACTACTCGTAGTTCTGCTCTCAGTCGACCTTTGACTTTCCTAGAGTTAGGTTCAGGAGATGAGACGAGACTGCGGAGAGAGGCTAGAGAGAGAACAGTGGCAAGAAGAGTGAGGGTCGCTGAGGATAGTGCCAGGTCTAGGATTTCAGCTAGCACCGGCACGACCATGGCTACTTCCTCTACCATGTCGCAGGCCTCTTCACAAGCCACTTCGTCATGAGTTCGTCAGAGTGGTTCTCGGGTTTCCATTAGCCAGAGTGCTGGCTTGCAAGTCAGCCAACAGGCTCAACTCACGCCAGAGGATTACGAGATCCTCCAAGCAGAAGAACTTCAGGATGAGTTGCAGCGGCAGGTGGATGAAGCAGCTGAGAGGAGAAAAAGAGCAATTATGAGAAAAGCTAAACTAGGTAGTAGATTGCAGGAGCTACGCAGATTAGAAGCATTAGATGAGTCAACACTTGACCCTGCAATGCGAGCGCTGCGTAAATCGCTCCTTTGTGTGGCAGAGACGCGGGTAGTTCAACAGGAGGTGTTGGTTGAACTCGTGGCAGGCCAGAAACGAATTTTAGGTGCACTACAGGTTCCTCGTCCAGTGATGAGGCAGCCTCAGTTTGTTGTAGCCTATGTACCACCTGCGGACGCGACCCCGGGGTCGAGCTTGGATCGCGGACCCAAATGGGTGCGCATCTGCGGCCTACCTGGTCCGCACCGCGGACCCGATTTTACACGAATTCTCCTGAATTAAATAATAGGTTAAAAAAAAGGGGTTGTAGGGAATTTTAAGCCCTACAACCCCATATTTTTTTTTTTTGAATCCGACTTTGTTTTGGATTTTTAAAAAATCAAAAACGAAATTGGATTTAAAGAAAATTAAAAAAATATATATAAAGAAAACCAGGAATTTTTTTTGGTCATTTTTTATCATGAGATATATGGTCCGTGAGTTTACCTGTATTTTTTTAGAAATGAATTTATGTTTTTTGCAGAAGTATGAGGTGTTTTGAGAAAATGCAGATGCAAAATTAAAAAAAAAAAGAAAAAAAAAAGGGTTTGATTGATTGATTGATTGATTGGTGGTGGGGGAGGAGTCACCCCACCTCCCCGCCACCCACCACGTGCACACACACACACACACACACACACACACACACACACACACACACAC